TCATTACTGGTGTGCTGCACTCCCTGCTGCCCAGCATCATCCCTGTCTGATCTGCTGGATTCCATGGCTGGGTTGGCAATAGAGACTGCTAGTTCTTGGGGATTTCAATTTGCAGTCTGGCAATATTGAATCCAGGGCAGCTCAGGAATTTATGGCCTCCATGGCAACCATGGACCTGTCCATCAAATACCCAACACATACTAGTGATTGCACTTTAAATCTGGTTTTTCTCTGGGTGCAATTTGATGTGGTCTGATATTGGAATTCAGAAGAGGTCATCTGGGGGATGCCTAAAGATTCAACACTTTCTTCCCTTCCATTTAACATCTAAATGAAATTGCTGAGTGAGGTCTTCTGATGGTTAGGGGTCTTGCACCACCAATATAAGGCTGCACGTCTTGACTCTGGACTAGCCAAATTAAGCCATCAATGTTCCGTCCCAGTCTCTGAAGCCTATGTGGGTCTAGATAGGGAGGAACAGACTCAGGCTTGCCTTCTCTGTTGCAGCACCTGCCCTCTGCAATGATATTTCCCAAAATATTCATTTAGTTCCCACTCTGATGAGGTTCTGGAAGTCTTTAAAAAACCTGGCTGCTGTCCCAGATCTTGGAGCAGGGTGTTTGTGGAGCACTGAGTGCTTTGCTGGGCAGTTTGCCTGGATGCTTAGTTTTTGTTTTGTTTTTTAAATATTTTTCTATTTTAAATATAGCCATCCAGAGCTGTATTTTGGAGTTGGGTGGCTTCTAAATAAAATATGCAAATAAATAAATAAATAAATAAATAAATAAATAAACAAATAAACAAATAAACAAACATCTGTATCTATCTGCATCCTGACAATTTTTGTAGATGATAACCAAAGATGAAATGAACAGCTCCTTGAGAAAGCCTTCTTATGGTGACATCCAGTGATGATGCTGGACCGCTCTTCTTGGAAATATTCACTTGATTTCTAATGCAGTGTTCTTTTGGCACTGGTTCAACACCTGGCATCCATATAGCTACCACCCTGATGATGTTCTGAAAAGCCCTAAAGCCCTGGCTACTTACCCAGGCCTTGGGGTAGGGTGGATGGGACTCCCCCTTTTGTGATGTTTTATATTTGCCTACGTTATTGGATTACCATCTTGTGATTATTTTGTCATTATTTTTGTACTGCTTTGGCTAATTGTTTTGGGTATTCTGTTGTTTTTATGTTATTAATTGTTGTGAGTTGCCCAGAATCAATTGGAGTCAGGTGGCATCCAAATTGAATAACATAAATAATAAATAAAATAAACATTTTCAGTGCAGTTATTGTATCATTCCTTGAGGCCTTTAAGTTGTTGCTCCTACATAGAACTCATATTCCATTGCCTTCTTCCCAAAAAATGCACTTGGGAGCTTTCAAATGTTCAGCATTTTCCAGTGCAGGCATAGAATGAGAATTTAAAGCAGGGATATTTGGCGATGTACACACTTTTGGCTAAGCTCAAGTATAAAGTGTAGTATCACTTGTACTCAATTTTTCTCCAAGTGCAGTGGAAAGGGGACAAAATGCCAGCATCTCATTTCAACCCCTTAATTGGAAAGGGCTGAAATGTTTGCACTGAATATGTTATGGGCAATTTTATTTGTCAGCCTGGGGGTGGAGAGTTTTAAGGTTTTCAAAGTCACGTATCTTTTTAAAGCCATGAACCTCACAAACGGAGGTGATTTTACTATTGTGGAAGAAGGAACAAAATCAGGCCTATTTATTGCTTTAATTCCTGCCCCACATGCAGTTCCAAAAATTTGAGTTTTGCCTACTCTGGTAATATCACTGTATCACCAGCTACACCACGCGAAATCCTCAAGAAGAACTGAAAGTTATAATTCAGTCTCCAGACTGGAAAAGTTTTCCAAGCCTTGTTTTAAATGCTCCGAATCCTCCCTCAGTGGATTCTAAACTACTTAATGATTGCCAAAGAATCTATATTTAGGTAGAAAATGAGGAACAAGCAAGACTAATAATAAGAAGTCAACTACGGAACAAAGGCCAAAAAGCCAGACTTAAGATACAGAGGAGAGATAAAACATCTGAAAAAGCTGTTCCTAAGCAATTGTGTAGACTAGAAAGCTAGGAAGTGAAGAGCCAATGCTTAAATAATATGTAAATCTTGGCCCTACTGAATAAATATACCAGGTTAAATGTTCTATATAATTGAGGGATCATGCTGATCTTTACAATTGCTACTTGGTTTCAGTCTTTGAAATTGCACTAATCAATAAACATTAAAAAGCCAGAAGGAAGAATACTACTGGAACTATGATAGAAACAAGAATGCATAAGTAAAATGGCATTCGGGTTTCCTTAATATCTTAGCCCCAGGCTTATTTGGTTTTAAATAAAGCAAGAAAATTGTGCATGCTCTTGTTGATCGTCCTAATGGCTCAATTTCACCACCTGCTAATAGAGTGCTATTGAATTACTATTCTGAAGTTTAAGCTTTTTGATAACATTAGGTAGAGTTAAATGGTATCTTTCAGTAGCATTATACTGCTTCGATAAACATGAACTGTCTACAGTAAATAAGCTCCAGAAATCTGTTTTCCACTTAAAACAATAAAGGATATAAATCAGAGTAAAATGAAATCTAATGTGGAGGGAAGTCGAGATGAAACATGAGGAGAAAACAGAGTGGGCCATTTTGCTAATCCTCAAACTGATTGGATCAAGAAGATATTACTTGGTAGTACAATTATGGTGCTTTTCAACCGCTAGTTCTCATCGAAAAAACATACATCAAGAGATAAGATTTGATTTGATCATCAATGGAATGTTAAAGAGGTCCATAAATCTCTGCCAAAAGTTAGGATTTAATGGCAGGGGAGGGGGGAGAATCACTTTTTCATTATAGGTTTTGGGGCTTCTTCTGCTTACATAAGCAGACTTGTGGCCACTGTACTTATACAGCATTATTAGTATAGAATAACATACATATCCTAATTGTGAGGGTTGAGGTGGGAGCCACTAGTTCAAATATGGGACTTGTGTAAACAGAGAAGGGCTGGGCTTCAAGGCTACTAAGCATAGTGCCAGCAGTCTACAGATATAAAAGTCATACAGATATAAAAGTCATCTCACTGGAAGTGGACAATTAACCGTCTTGTGTGGCTGTTCTTTTTGCAATAAATATTCTCAATAAGAACCTAGCCAAGTCAGGTCTGTGAGCCTTCTGCGAAAACTAGCCAAGGAGTTGAGTTAAATCCCACGGTGTCAGGAGGCTGGTGATTTTCTGCTTAATCCTTGTCAGAGGAGCCAGGTATTAATATACGCAAGGAGTACAGTGATGATCACACTCAGCAATTCGATAAACAGATTGCTGTGTGGAATAATTCTATAGATTACAGTTCAGGAAATAGTTTAAAGCCAATCCTACCAAATTCTACTTTAAAATAAAAAAAGCTTGTTATGTTTCTGCTAGTGGAATCTATCCAGAGAAATCGTAATACTATAAAACCCATCCTTAAAAAACAATTCCCCATATCACACTCATGAGTGTCAACGGGCTTGGCAATGCCTTCCTTGATGCCCATAATTTTTTTTTTTTGCTTAAATGATTTTATGTTATGTACTTATTAGAATATTCAGTTTAAAAGTAGAAGGGAAGCTGGCATGTAGCAACGCTTAATCCTTTGTTATTATCCTGCACTGTGACTACGTATCAATCTTGCCCCCTTAAGTCATCTTAGCAAGAAAATGGTGGGTGACACAATTTTGTCTGGAGGCACACTTGCTTGCTCAGAGAAACGAGAAAGATAAACTGAAGTGGTAGAGAGCCTCCTAGAAGATTAGAATGAGTGAGTCAAAAACAAACTCCCTCATTTGCTTTCTGATCAATGAATGCTGAACCTAACTTGGCAGCCATTTTGTGAAAGTGCCTAATAACATGTTTTCAAAATTCCAAATGTGCCCATTGTTCCAAAAACCTTGGAGAAGCCTCGCTGATGCACATCGCCAGCTTAAAAATATACTAAAAACAACCAGAAATGTAATCAGAGTTAGCCTTTGACCCCATCCATGAATTCACTTGCTCCCAACTTCTGAAACCTATAGTAGATGTTTAGAAAGATATTCAGTGATCATGAAGCTATGGTGACCCTATCCACTGGGAAGAAATCACTAAATTGAATTGTTTGTCTATTGGGGAACATTAGGGAATATCCCTCTCTCTGAAGCTTCATTTAGCTGATAATATTAGCCCTCCTATAAATATATGCCATAAATATGGCATTCTCCCACTAGCAATCATACGTACATATTACATACAAACATACGTACATATTAACGTTTATTAATATTAACCTTTGTGACATGCTAACAAAAATGTTGCTTTTTAAAAATTCAAACTATATATTTGACTATTTATATTCTTCAGTACTTTGACAAGGAAGCCAGAAGTTAGCATTAAGAGCTCTTTCAACTCCGTGTCAGTATTTGAAAACTGAACATTATTGGGAAGAAAATATTTGATCACATGCAGCTGTCAAAACTGGCATTTCTTTTTTAAGTTTAAAATTTAATGTGGCTTTTTCTACAGGTATATTTCATGCTGAAAGATTTAAAGGCATGGCAAAACGCAGAAATAATAACCCTTCAAAATATTTATTTCCTGTTGGAACTACAGAGTTATTTGGATCAGCTGATTAGCTATTTGAAATGGGTTTCTTACTTATCCTTGTTTTATCTGCATCCTGACGCCCGATAAAGATTTCTAACAGCAATCATTCCATCAAAAAAGAACCTGGGCCACGGAGTGGGGAAGTGATGGTAATGGGAAAAAGATTTGCATTGTAGCTTATCAATCTTAGAAACAATAATTGAAGTGCAGCTTCAAGATAGGCTGGTATAAAAGTGACTGCTGTGAAATACATATGCAGTAATCACTTCTATTGTTCAGAGGATTAAGTCCATTTATGTGGCTTCAAAAGAAATCCTTCTTGCATGAAAAGTATTAAGAAAACCTTTCTTTGCTTACCGGCGGGTCCTGATCCTCTGCTTCCACTGTTGTAATAATGGTGCCCTTGATTGCATCGGGAGCAACCATGCCTCTGTACAGAGTTTTGCTAAATATTGGGGAGTAATCATTCATATCCTGCAAAACATAAATAAAAACAAATTCTCAAATCTAGAATGAAATTGTGAAGACACTTTTTTTTTTTAAATCAAGTTTTTAAGGGGGAAATTTGGTTTCTCCCTTAAACAGCCCATTTGCCAGTACCTGTCATCTGGATTCTCAATTTTGCAACTGTTTTGCACTCCAGCCTGGCATTCAGGAGGAAATTTGCAGGCCAATATTAACCTGTACAGAATTGACAGAAAACTCTCTTTCATCAAAACAATATAGTTGCTCAAACAAATACAGTTCCAAGGATTGCATCAATTTTTGCAGACGTTTCATCTCAAACAGCGTCCTAGATTACAGCTTTAATTAACTAAATAAACCAGAAGAGCAACACTTGTAAGTTATGTGAGAAGAAATAAGACCACTTATTCAACATCCATTTCAAATTCTGAAGTCTCTTCAGCCAAGAGCCTTATATAGTTTTGAACACATTTACACTGGAGGGAATGTATCTGGGAAAGACGGATGGCTTCCTAGCATTCTTCTGCTCTCTCCTTAAAAAGTTTACTTGTCATACCTAATAGCCTGAAAAACATTTAGGTGATTTGACATATTTCTTCTAAGAATTCCTTTTTCCCCTTCTTTTTTTTAAAAATACGGATAATAGTATAATTTTAGTTCTACCATAGCAATGGTCTTGGATGAGGGAGTTGAGGAACACTTGTTAAGTTTGCAGGTGATATAAAGATGGGAGGGGTAAGTAATATTTTAGAAGAGATATATAAGATTCAAAAAGATCTACCAAGATGATAAGAGATTGGAAAACCAAATCTATTCACAGTTAAAAGAACTGGGTATATTCAGTGTAGAGAAAATATGACTAACAGAAGACATAATAGCCATCTTCAACTATCTGGGAGGTTTTTTACACAGAGATTTATTCTCTGTTGCCCTAGAGGACAGGACTAGAGCTAGTGGGTTAAAACTACAAGGAAGTAGTTTCTAGCTAGAGGTCAGAAGGAACTTCCTGATTGTACAAGATGTCACTTAGTGGAATAAGCTGCCACATGTAGTGGTGAGTTCTCTTTTATTGAAGGAATTCAAATATAGACTGGATGGTTATCTGTCAGAAATGCTGTAATGGATCCTACAGTAAACAGGGAACTAGATGACCTCTAGGATAATGATGATGATGATGATAAAGTTCATTACATTAATTTATATAATCACCCATCTCATAAGTGCAACTGCGACTCTGGGATGCACATAGGGTTAAAACCAAACCAAACCAAACCCAATCAGAAAAATAATAAGAGCTATAGTGGTCAAAGATAAACCTAACTCTAATCATAATAAAGACAAACTCACAGTGACCGGCTCACCTAACCTCCATACCCCATGCCCAAGGGAACATCCAAGTCTTCAAGGACTTCCAAAATGCTAGCAGGATCAGGGCTCCACAAATCTCAGGGTAGGCATTGAAAGGCACGTTTCCTGGGTCCCACCAGATGCCACCATTTAATAGATGTGACCCAGAGCACGCCCATCCTACTGGGATGGATAGAAATAACCAGAGACAAGTGGTCCTGCAAATAGAAAACTTCCAACTCTATCAACTTTGGTTCTATGTAAAATGGAGAAAATTCAGCTACAGCAAGGTGGAGCACACTACTGTTTTATACACATGTTCAATTGTTTGTCAGGCCAAGGCATGAAATTCTACTTCTAATTTGTTATTTGGGAGCTCTGCTGTACAACAGCATAGTGCCTTGGGCAGGAGATTAAGTAAATGGGCATACAGCCCTAATATGTATTCCCTGACATATTTACTATCAATAGTTACACATTTGCTAGATCCCACAGGAAAATCCTGCCTAGGAAAAATGTTAGGCCCTAAATAGCCAAAATCAGTATGCTTTTTAAAAACTCTTTCATGTGGCTCCCCCCGGCTCAATTTGTTTTTGTCTCTTCTTCCCTTGTTCTCTAATAGGCTTCTTCTGGGTATAGAGATTCAATGCCCACTTTATCAATCTTTTTACAGCTAATTAAGGGCAGAAGCAACCTGATAATGGTAAATTAACAACCTTAGCTAATTGCCTTCCATCTGTAGCATAAGATTGGTCATTGCATCCAGGATTTCGTGAATTTATTCACTTGAGCAATGAGCAGGGGCAAAGCAGAGAGATTTGTGAATAAACTTAACTAACTTTGATAAAACTCTGCTGGATATAATAGGTCAAATTATAAATTTGTTTTTCCTTATGTTTTGATGTTTTTCCTTATCCTTCTGATGTTTTGCTTATATAAGCCAAAGGTCAGAAGTCGAGGAAGCCAAGAAATGGATTTTTAAAAAAACTTTTTTTCCCCCGTAAGCTGTTATAAATTGTGAGTACAAGAGCCACCTGTTTCTGCTTGGGTTGCTTAATTCTGCTTTAGAAGGGTGCAGTCTGTTTCCATCTCATCTGAAACTTCTGAATCAGAAACTGAAGAGGCAAACCAGACAGAGTGTCAACCTGCAGAGCCAACAGGCAGACACCTATAGCAGCTTCAGGAGATGCTACCTCCAGCAAGTGTGATCCAATTCAGGTAATGAGGGGCCAGATTCTAGCATACCATTTAGCCCAAGATCATGCCAGTAGCTACAAAGGGGTAAGCATAGGTGACCAGTGTGTCCCTCAGTGGAGAAGACAGCAGCATTGCTTGCCCTCTGTGGGAAACAATTCAGACTCCAGATTTGCATCTTATCACTCTTGCTCTTCAATCAGACCCTAGCATTGATGTTCTGACTGGCTCGTAGAATTTTCTGGAACCTGAAGCCTGTGGCTCTGTCTTTCCCTGGTAGCAGATCACAATGATTCATGCAACAAGGCAAGTTTGCATTTTCTAAGTATAAGTGTTTTCTGGTTAATTACTCAACTGATTCCTGGTTGCTATCAGAAAGTCTACAACACTGGTAGGCCATTTCAAACTTGTATTTGCTTGGCTTTCTGTTTCCTACTTCTGGCAAGGACACAGTCCTACTATCCTTTTTACTAGGAATAACACTCATTGAACTCGATTTGATTAACATCTGAATACTGCACTATACAAGCAGCAGTTCATCCATCCACATTCTATAGAGAAAGCAGTAACTCATCACTTTCCTTCCTGTAGGCAGGTCTTCCTGGATAAGCATACATACACACAAAACTGAATTTATATATACATGTTAAAGCATAAAAATGTACAGACAAGCTGATAGAACAAGCAATTAAAAAAAAAACCAAACCTTTCCTACTACCTTGTCTTTCTAATGTCTTTTAGACCTACTCTTACCACAAGTGCTGTAATAGCACAAAGGCTATAACTCTTGCTTTGTAGGTAGAATGACGTGGCTTGAAATCCAGTGTTCTGTGCTGCCAATTACACATATATAGCCAGCTTCTGATACAAAGACAAGGAATGTATTGCAGTCATAAATATTTCACTGTAGTAACACAATGCAGAATGGACATTACAATGTTTTGCAAAAGATTCTGCCAAGACAAATCTCACATTGAGAGGGAATAGCCAGTTTCCAATCAAAGGTTCCAGGTAATCCAATCCAACATATTGATAGTCACACTTAGGGAATCAGGACATTGTTTGCCATAACAAGCCAATCAAACCATCATTTCTTTTATACAGCCTGGCTACCAGCTTGACAAATTTGCCACATCACACTTCTTTCTTTCATAATTTGTTAGGCTCAGGACCTTACTTAGCTCAAGGTCTCAGTCAGCTGACTCAGTGTGCCCCTGTGTCTTCTCAGGTATACTCTTTTCAGTTAACTCTTGTAGTGCAGGCTGACACTCAGTCTGGTCAAGCTCTTCAGTCTCTGAACCTGAAGATTCAGAATTATCCATAACACATAGCAAAAACTTTTTAAATTCCTTGTTTTTTTTTTTCCTTTCCCTTTCTTCCAACTTTTCAGAGTGCTTTTTTAAAAAAAAGTCCACATGATCCCCCTCTGGAGAGACATCAGACAGTAGAAATGGCTGTACCCTTTCTTCCCCCATTTATCTTTAAGGGGCCCCTATTCATAACCAGGTAAGCTAGCCCTTTAAAAGAGCTCAGCTATTGCTGAATATGGTGGCATATGGGAGAAAAGAGGGCTGAAAGAAGAAAGAGACAGAGACCTGAAGCCTTAAAGACAGAAGGAGGAGGGCAGAAACGGTAACAAGAAATGATAGAAGAGTGGCAACAATGGCCAGCAATGTTAGAAGATGCCGGGCTTTCATTAGAAGCCCAGAGCACTGGTAATCTCTCCAGAGAATTCACACAAGAGGTGAATTCACATGAGAGGTCCAGAATGGTAGCTATTCAACCACTTTAGAGGCCCAAGATGCAGGCAGCTTCAAGAGGTGCACATGGGCGCACAGCACCAGGATGAGAGTAGCAGCAGAGGAAAAGGATCTGTTAGAACCTCCAGCACCCACTTGACCACAGGTCCAAACTTCAGATTTCCACCTTCTGGGCACAAAAATAACTGTTGGCTGGGAAAGCAGTGTAGGATGCAGCAGGGCTAGGATAAAAAAAATGTTTTATATTTCTAGACAGGATCTAGGAATAAAAAATAATGTTGAGATGCCCAATGACTATCCTGTTTTAATGGAAATTATCTGAATAAAAACAAAAACAGCTAGTCTATCTTTTGAGCCAATACTGCATTTTTAGGTACACTAACAGGATCAGAAATATATTTTGAATAAGCGTGTTTTTCTATTTGGGCATGGCATGTATTCAGCACATATGAGAAAACATTTCAGAAGGAAAAGAACACTTAGGCCTGTCAGACATTGCTATGTTCCTTTATTTTGTCTTGATTGTTTCCAATTAAATTTCAGAACACCTAAGCATTTGTGTGATGTTCTGCAAGTCCTTAGTGTTCTGAAAAGAGGCTTTAAATAGAAATGCCAAGAAGAAAAATGATGGAGAACATTCCCTGATAAGGATGATACTGAATAGCCTCGTCTATAGGAAATGACTAGAATGGTTATGGTTATTTTTTC